AAAATGGACATAAGTGAGGGGGAAAAAAGAGAAAGGCAGAAATTCCCTGGGGAATGTGGCTTTTGTCCATTTACCGTTTATGAGCCACAAAGAAAATGCTCTTCCTCCATCTGCTGGAGGAATGAGTCACGTACAATGCAGTCATGTTGCTGTTATGTGCACAAGATGGCAGTCCTGAATGAACACAATGTACAGACACATGCTGAGCTGCAGCTAAAGAGAATAATACTTAGAGAATAATATGTTTTTGTTATATTGTCAGATCTTACAAGGTGTTAAGGGTTACATCAATCTGTCAATGCGTTTGACTGACTGACTGTGTGTGTGTGTGTGTGTGTGTGTGTGTGTGTGTGTGTGTGTGTGTGTGTGTGTGTGTGTGTGTGTGTGTGTGTGTGTGTGTGTGAAAAACTACATCAAAGTCAAATTGAGAAGTACTATGAGTAATGTGTACTTTAGGAATCAAAGGGTAAAGTACACATTTGACAGAACGGCCTATTTCAAAAGTTAAGTAGCTTTTTGCAGCTGGTAAAATGTGGGGTCTTTTCATCCAATTTATCATTGGAATCATAAAAGTGTATCTACTTGTATTCATCATAACAAGTAGATAAACTGTAACTAGCAGCTTAATCCCTCAGAAACATGTGGTAAAGTGAAAAGTTGGCTATAATATATTTCCCTCTGCACTCGGTCTGTTTCGCAAACAGCCCCATAAACGCCCCATGTTTTGGTTGTATATGTTTTACCACCTACAGGTCTATAGTTAAAAGAACACATCATATAAATCCGAGACAAAACTGACAGAAGGGTACAATTCAGAAAATATATTACTATTACAACTCCTTCTGCTACTTCAGCACCACGGACAGCGCCATGGATTTATCAATACACAGCTAGGATAGGCTACTGATATTTAAGAGCTATAGTCAGGGGCATAGATTGTAACATGCACAATCATCAGTCAGATAAAAGATCAATGACTCAGAGGCAGAGTAGTTTAACAACCCCACAGCGCCATCTCTGCTTCCACTGGATTGGGACGTGGGTTGGCAGGTAAACAAGGGACATGTATTATGCTTAGAAGGGGGATGGCATTCCCCTTCAATTAGCCTATTGCGAAATACAAATCCACACATTTGTAAATAAGTCCGTAATCATTATCAATTTACTAAAGCCCACCTCATCTTTATAATGCTGGTTTCATTATTGAGTCCCAGAAATGGGGAACGTTTGGGGTTTTAGCTTAAAAACTGACAAACAAAAACATATATTTCACAGTGTTGTTGTCAATCAGGTTTTTATCAACAGTTGTACATTGCGGAATGAGAAAAATATCTCTTCTAGGTTTTGAGCCTGTGTTTTGTGTTTGTCCTAGCAGGCCTGCTTGTGTCGTAAACAGACTCCACCGCAGAGACCTCCGAGTCCTCTCCTGATTAGTCTTTACAGAAACCTGCTTGTGAGCTATTCAGACACATGAAATATTAAAAGCCTGGAGTTTCCGTTTCACACACAAAGTGGGAGGGGAGACGGCTGAGAGCCAAACAGACGGCAGGACTGACAGGGGCAGAGGAAGAGAGGGTCATTTCAGAAAACAGTAGGATTAAGATAAAATAACACATAAGGCTCCCCGGGAGGGACATGAGCAGGGATGGAGGGAGAGAGGGAGGAACAGGGAGAGAAAACCCGAAGGTAAGGCGGAGAGGATGTGAATGTTTATGCCTGATCAGGTGCTCGCCTTCAAGTGTAACAGTAGAGGCCTTACCGGTGTAATCAGCTGAAGATTGATTGGCTGATAACCTTTCGAGTGAGGCCGTTAGGAGGGCATGTTTTTTAATTCTGCTGCTTCTCTCTCAAACCTCAGTGAGACGTCTTCCACCCAGGCTGACGAGCCGACTCAGAGCTGCAGTGAGGAGAGCCACGAGCCACAAACCTTCCAGGAACCAGAGCAGGAGGAGCAGGAGGAGGTCGTCAGTGGAGCCTGCGATGGAGAGGAAGAGCATGTTCAGGTCAGATTTGACAAGAAAAATACACACTCATTCATTCTGTATATTTACAGCCTCATTATCAGCATTAAAGAGGCTGTTATGCTTCCCTTTCCCAAGTGTGTTATGTTGTTTTTTGTGCATGTAAATGGTCTGCAAAGGCTTAAATCCACAAGTTCCCTACAGAGGGAGTTTCTATCCCACACACTCCCCCCCCCCCCCCCCCCCTCCTGAAACCCCTCCATTGGACTGCTTTGTTTACTTCCGTAACATAATGACATTACTATGCAACAGTCACACTTTTATTGGCTAGCGTTACAACACATTGCACGTGATAGGCTGAGGGGTGGGACATATCTAAGCGGTTGACCAATCACAACAGAGCCTGCCAGCTAACCAATCAGAGCAGACTGGGCTCTGGTTTCAGACAGAGGGTGAAAAGAGGTGCTGCAGCACAGGCAGAATGAGAAAAATAAAGCACAAGATTTAGCGACACACGCTTCTGCTCCCATGTGATTGATATAGGTCGAGGAGGATCTGTGTATCAGTGAAGCAGAGACCTCACCACAGGAGACTCTCATATCCACAAACACACAGGACGATGACGACTGCCTCCCACTGTCCCCCCTGCCAACAGAGGAAGAGTTGAGCCCCCCTTCAGTGTCATCTCATCCCTCTGACACACAGAGTATGTGACACACACACACACACCCCAAACATAGTAACCAGCGTGTGCTCATGTGAGGCTGTACTGTGTGTCTGTGTCCTCGCAGATCGCCTGTCTGAACCCTGCTGGTATTGCCTGAGGTCTCTCGACTCAGAGGGTCGGCCTGAAACTCCTGAACAGGTTTCAACACTTCTGTCTAAACACATTATGTCACTGAGACATGGCTGATCAGATACATTGTGAAGTGTGAAAAGCTCTTTCTCTGAATAGATGTGTAAAATGCAAAGCGAATTCACTTCTTTTACAATCAAAAGTAGCATTGATGCAAATGCAAAAATGTTACAATTTTAAGGACATATTGCAAATTTGCAAAACCCACAATAAGGAGTATCCATCTCTTCTTTGTGGAGATAAAGGGATGTTTCTGTGACCTTGTGGGTTGATGAAATACTGTATAGGTGCTAAGAAAACTAAGACATTCATTCATATACTGTAAAGTCATAGTAACAAAATAAATAGGGCCGGCATTTGCATTAGGTAAAATGCTTCTTTTAAAGTCAATGCATTTGGATATAAAGAGTAAAGGTCAAGTGAGAAAAATACAACACTAAACTGAGCTTTAATAATTGCTGTGCCATCATATGTTTTTATATATATATATATGATAATATGATTCTGGGCGATTCTGCACAATAGGTGCTTTTAATTTTGTTACTTTTGTACCTTACATAACTAAGATTTTAAATTCAGGACTATTACTTGTCAGAAAGTATTTCTACACTGTAGTAATTATAAGTACAACATGTGAGTACTACTTCCACCCCTGCCCCTTTTGTGCTTTGTTACAGGAGGACTCGAATTCTCTGTCCTCGTCGCCCTCTACTGGCCAAAGAGTGAGCTACCAGACTGACCCTCGACCTCACTTTGGGGTCGCGTGTTCCTCACACTCAACGTGTAGCCCTCTGTGGGGCAGTGAGGGGCCCTGCTGGGGGCAGAGGAACCAGGAAGTGCCCGGTGAAACACAAACCTGCCCTCACTGCCATCTGGCGCTAACCCCTGACACACTGCTTTGGCATGAGGTTGTCACCGACACACACAGACATAAATAGAGACCCACAAGCTAACACTCTCCACTAAACATACCAAAGCTTATTATCACTGTGTTTACCAGGAAGCCTCTGAATGTTTTTCTTTCTCTCTCTGTACAGGCTAAGTGTCTACTGTTTGAAGGGCAGAAGAACTCAAAGAACTAATGGATTCATTCCCAGAGAAATTAAATGTAATGCATCTATATACTTTTAATATATTCTGTATTAATGTTCTCAGGAAATACTTTGCATCTAAATGTAATGTGCAATATCGGTTTCTGTTGAGTTGATTTTCTGTCAAATATTTAATGTGTTAACAGAAATAAAATTCATGTGTACAAAATCAGTATGTCTTTTTAAATATGAAATTCAATGCTCAAGGTTAGAAATGCAGCAATAGTAGCTGGTAATCCAATAATACACGTTTAACATTGCAGCAGTACATTATAATAAATTATTAAAGGTAGGGTAGGTAAGTTTGAGAAACCGGCTCGAGATACACTTTTTGTTATATTCCATGGAATGCTCTTAACATCCCGATAGCAATGAATATCTTAAGTGCTTTGACAAAAAATCCATAAAAATGTGTAATCTGTGGAAGCCGTAGTACTGTAAAAAGCACGACCAATCATCTGAGCCGGCCCGGCTAAAATAACTGGATGGCCTACCTGCCTGTCAGCCTTCCATCTGTGCACAAACTTATCTCGTGCCCTCATTGGTCATGTGCGCGTTCGTGTGTGTTGGAGGAGGGGCTCTGTAAGGAAGTGGCAGATTTTTTCCGGCTGTGTATTTTCAAATTCTAGCGCACTCGAGCCGGTTTCTCAAACTTACCTACCCTACCTTTAAGTGTTGATTTATCTCAACAATGATACTCTTCAATAGGATGAAAACAAGATTTTAAAAATTCTTCTCAGTGTTTTCCAAGGATTCCTACTCCCCATCTCCCCTTTTGTCCGTTACCTTCCATTTTTTGTATTTTGTTTGATTGTTCTCAGGCCTAAACATCTCAGTGTTTATCTTAAAAAAGGATGATAACTAACATTCTTCTCCCATAGTGATATTCTATTTATCATTGTAGTCCAAGATGTTTTTTTTTGTATTTGTTTGAATGTTTTTCGGGCATAAACATTCCGCAGTAGCTTCTCTAACTACAGGTAATGTTGTTTCACATTTTCAGATTTGTCTTATGTGAATGCTTAATAAATCTAACACTAAACCATGCTTTCTTAGGAAAAATTCTGCAGCGGCAGGATTAAAAAAAAAAATATGAATGAGGAGTTAATCCCACTGCAAAACAGTGAAGATGAGGACAATGGAGAAAAGATGGGAGAAGTTCTCAGTGACGCAGGGTGTAGCTCAGAGAGTTGGGCCATACTTCCTGTTTTGTGCTTGACGCAGGTGTTTAAGTTTCTTGATGAAGGGGATCGCAGGAGTGCAGACCTGGTTTGTCAGCGCTGGCACAACATCATGCACTCTCCCTCCCTCTGGCGCTCACACACCTTCCACCTCAATGTCCGGCCGTCCAAGTACAAGCAGTCTGAATTCCACTCTTCTGTGGCCTATGTCCAGTCTCGAGGAGTCTACCTGGAGAGGTTGGTCGTGTTGGTGAATCCTCCATCCACTTACTCGATAGCCTCGAGACTGTTGAGAACAATCAAGACAATATTTGATGAGCTTACCAGGTAAAGGAGTGTGTTTTCTTAAAGCCCCTCTTAACCCCAATACATCCCACATCAGACTGTAACTGACGACTCTCCAAACCAAACATTATTTTGTCTCCACAGAGTACGGGCGTCACTGAAGTCTATCAGCCTCACAAATCTGGAGTTAGACCGGCCCTGCTGGACTTCTGGACTCAGAAACTCTTTCGTTATCTTCCTGGTTTCCTTTCTCCGCAAACAAGGCTCAAAGCTTGACTCCGTTTGTCTGAATGGGATGAAAATCGGCATGATTCAGGTGACTACAACACCAAAGATGATGTTTGAGTAGGTATGTCACTGCTACGGGTGCTTTACCAAAATGGCCAAAGATTTCACTAGCAGAGTGCTCATTCAAAAGTTATTTGTTTCTGATTCCTGATCCTTTAACCTCCAGGGTCTGGAGATGCTTTCCACCCTGGCACAGTCTCAGAAGCGCACCAGCCATCGCTGCTCCATCTCTACTTTGGACTTGAAGGGTTTCTTTTCTGGAGAAGTTCCAGTCTACCGTAACACCAACATGCCCCGCACCCTGAGCATCATGAAAGGCCTCACCCACCTGAGCCTGAGCTACTCCTGTCTGTCAGATGAGCTTCTAAAGGCATTGCAGCCCAGAGAGCGAGGGTGGAGAGATTTCATCCACTTGAAAACACTTTCACTGTGGTGTTCTTTGAATGTGCCCCATGGACAGGTAATTACGAACATAATAAATTAACATTACATGATGACAGCCATTGGTTCTGTATGACTATTCCCAACAAATGTAATTGCTTACATAGACGGCAAAGGGTAGATGGTTCTGAAGGTTTTCTGTAAGGACACACAAGAAAGTATTTCTCTTGGCAACACAAAAATGTAGGTGCTTTGAGATTTGTGTTGTGTTCTGTCTAGGTGATTTGCGGTCACTCATGGGAATCTCTGGCATCGCGCTGCCCGGGCCTGAAAGTCAAGATTGCAGTCGACCAAATCCTCAACACTAACCGACTTGCAAGGATTCTGCTGCCAGAGATTCCCCTTGTTGATTTCAGCATGACAACTTTCTACTCTCCCAACGAAGAATGGAGCCCCAGGCCTCTCTTCTATGTCATGCTGCCTCAGTTCAGGCTCACTCTGAAGGTAAGGGTACGAAGCAGTTTAGAGAGATTGTGGTAAACTAAAGTTCCCAGAAAACATACTGTGTGATAGTTCAGGAAATGTTTAGAGGGATTTGTTAATGCTTTAAAAAAAAAGAAAAAATTCGCAATAAATATCATGTGGATGTGAGCACGAGGCCACACGGGAACGACCCAAAAGCATTAAGATGTAGAAAATCCTACCTTACTGGCAGGTACAGGGACAAAATAGTGATTAAGGTTTCAGGCTTCAGTGACCAGCAAACAGCCAAAGCTAAATGGCATCTTTGACTTGGTGGTAAAAGTGAAAAACGGCTGGTTAAATGCTCCAGGGCTGATGAGCGAAAGGGAAAACAGGTTGCTGGGGAAGGTCAGGTGAGCATGACTGGTTAAAAAGTCTGAGGGCATATGGTGGACATGCAGAGAATGGCAGGCTATGAAGGGGTTAATGGAAATGAGACATTATTGTGTTGTTGGTCATTTTTATATTGCCTGTCTGCAGTTTCTGACCCTGCACCTGAGTAACTGCAGTGAATTATTGGACGACGAGCTGCTGAAGCTGGTCAGACGTTGTGATCGTCTGGAGCAACTGAGAGTCTGGGCTTTCCTGGAAATCAGAACTGTGCAGAGACTGCTGAGAATCAGGCTGGCACAAAGGAGCTTACTCAACACGATCAGGGTGAGAAAAAAGATAAAAGCTGCCTGAATCTTCACATATACCGGGATCTGTGTGGATACTAATGCTCTTGTTGATCATGTTTTCCAGGTGAGTGTCTACTCAGTAGAAGAGGACCATGAAGAGCAGAAAGAGCAGCTGGAGAAATTATTGTCTACATACCGAGATCTCCCTCCTGAACTCGATTTTTTTGCTACAGTCTATCCCTATGTGTAATCGCAGGTGCATGTAGACATGTTGTAGAACATCAAGTTCGTCTATTTAAAAAAATAAAATTATATACACACAAAATTGAACAACAATTGGTGATTGTAGTTTGGGGTTTTGACACTGACTAGCTCTCCCTGTGTCAGTCTATATTTTTTCAGTGGGGTGGGGGTTGTGGGTGGAAACACTGACCTAGTTTCATGTAGAGGGTGATCGGGGGAGGCAGGGAGTGTGTGTGCTTTGGCATGGCTAGAGCACTATTTTAGGAAACATGGATTAAGCAATATACCAAACTATTGTTTATTTGTACTTTACTATTTTCATCTTGTACATCTAGCTTCTTCCTATTACAATATTGTATGTTTTTTAATTGAAATCTTTGCATCTGATACCTCAGATTTTTCTATTACATACTGTTAATACACGATAACTCTGAATACATGACTTTCACTGTAATTATACTTGGCATTTAAAGCTTTTTGACAAATATACTAAACACATTCGCATTGTGTGCATAAACGTATCATGGTTTAGTTTTAGTTTATTCTCTTCAATCATATTGTTGTAAATATATTACTATTACATTTTTCTGTATTTTTCACATCCACTGCTTTATATTTTGGTGTGTTTAATAATGTGAAAAAGGTTATAACAGCCTTTTTTAGACTTATATAAGTGCACAAAATAGAAGGCATTGTGAAAATATACAAATTATTATATCCTTACTTCAAGCAAAAGTATACAGATATTGTTAAATGATGGTAGATTATTATCATAGTAGTTGACAGTGACAGACTACAAAATGACATCGACACATGAGCAAACACCGTCCTCCACCTTATTGGTCGCTAATACTCACGCACAGTCACGTGACTGGGTAATGGCATTAGATTAGGAAGCATGGTGAGGCAATGCCCTGCCCCATCACCTGACTGCTATTTGAATATTGATGGTCCCTGTGAGCCTCCACCATCCTGTGTTTTTGTTGTCGTCTGACATTGTCCGTGTGGGACCGTCGCCACAGACAGATTTATATAACGAGCCCCTGAACACCGACATGTCGTCACTACTGAAGCCGTTTTCGGTGTGCGAGGGGCCGTGTGCGAGCGGCGCTGTGAGGAGAGGATGCCCGGGATCAGCTCCTCATCATCAGCCTCCATCGCAGCGTCTGGTCGCCGCGGGGCTGGGCTGTCTGCCGGGGAGAAACCTGGCGGCCGCTGCAGTCGGAGGAAGGAAACTCACGCATCCTGGAAAGTCCATTCTTGCAGGTTGATTTTGAAACGCACATACGAATGCAGCCCTAATAATAGCATTTTGCTCCCTGCACAGTAGACTAATCGCAATATGTCGCTCAAAGAGGCTATCCATGCAGAACTGGGTCAAATCGCACTCATCCAGCAGCGATGCTACAATACTTAATACAATAGGAATTTCTTTATTGCTAAGCTAACATTTTATTAATTTGTAATAATCAAATGATGCTAACAGCTGCATATTGAATGAATAGAAGCATATACAGTCAGTAACCCTTAGCTACACCTTCCAACTCAATGCAGACAATGCTGTGTATATATAATTGATTTATCGACTAAGCAGGAATGATCTAGCATCTCATTTTTTTTAAAGTGACATAGAAAAGCATGTGAGTTCTCCCTGCTCCCAGAACATGCTGCACAGTTTGTCTACAAATCATCATCTCTCTTCTTTCCACACCCAGGTGGCATTGCAGGAGGAATAGAGATTTGTATCACCTTCCCCACAGAATATGTCAAGACCCAGCTGCAGCTAGATGAGCGAGCCAACCCACCTCGATACAGAGGGATCGGTAGGTCACTGGGACATGTATGACTTCTGCCTTACTGCAGGTTTGTGTGAAAGTCTTCTGATGGGTTACTCACTCCTGGATGCTGTGTGCGTATGTTTAGGCGACTGTGTGAAGTTGACCGTGCAAGATCATGGGCTGAGAGGACTGTATCGAGGTCTCAGCTCCCTGCTCTATGGATCAATACCCAAGTCTGCAGTGAGGTGAAGATGCACACATGCTATTCAGTAGCTTTTCCCCGTCGAAGCAGTATCACAGCATTTTATGGCACTTTATAGGCAGACACATTTGCAAGGCTTAAAAAAAACATTTTTTTTCATTATTGATTAATCTACAGATGATTTACTAACTAAACCGCTAATCACAAACGTACTGGAAATGCTTTACTGATACTACCATGATGTAGTGTTATAAAGAGCAAGAAAATCAAAACACAATCACCTTGTCGTTTTCTAAAGGTTTGGCACGTTTGATATGCTCAGCAACCCAATGCGAGATGCCACAGGTCGCCTTGACAACACGCGGAGCCTCGTGTGTGGTTTAGGAGCAGGGATAACGGAGGCCATCGTGGTCGTCTGTCCCATGGAGACCCTGAAGGTCAGAGGAGCTGGATGCTGTTACACATTGCTTTGACTGTAGGAAGCTTTTATAAACAATAATCTGAATAAATGGCCTGATGAGGTGGTTCTTCCCTTGTCCTCCAGGTGAAGATGATCCATGACCAGTGTTCGCTCAGACCGCGTTACAGAGGCTTCTTTCACGGAATCAGTGAGATTATCAGAGAACAGGGTAAGAGAGTGAAAAGGGGGAAATTGGCTGAATCTCTTACAAACTTCTTACATCTTTTATCAGCCAGGCTGCTCCCTGTTATTGGCTACTTGTATCCACCAATATTCATGTGTATGTGGTTTGTCTTCTTTAAAAATAGGTGTGAGGGGGACATATCAAGGTCTGACAGCGACTGTGCTGAAACAAGGATCCAATCAGGCGATCCGATTCTATGTGATGAACTTGCTGCGCAATTGGTACAAAGGTGAGAAAATCTAATGACTGCAAAATAAATGCCAATGTCCTTGTATGTCTTCTTTTAAATTGACGAATGGATGCATTCTTCTCCCATTTCTGTCCATTCTCCACAAACCCAACTTTCGTTTTTGGCCTTTAAGGTGACGACCCAAGCCGAGACATGCACCCATTTATAACCGCAATCTTTGGAGCGACGGCAGGAGCTGCCAGTGTTTTTGGAAATACACCTCTGGATGTGGTGAAGACAAGGATGCAGGTAGGAAACAAACACACCCTCTGTGGATGTTATGCTTCATGTTTTGACATTTTTCAAACTCACTCTGATTTCTGTAGGGTCTGGAGGCCCACCGCTACAAATCCACAGTTGACTGTGCCTTCCAGATCTTGAAGAATGAAGGACCACAGGCGTGAGTAACCCTCCGCATGAATCATGCTGTTTGCTTTAGTTTTTGCTGAACCATCTAACCTGATCTAATTTTGTCCCCAGGTTTTACAAGGGAACAGTTCCCAGGCTTGGCCGCGTGTGTTTGGACGTGGCAATAGTCTTTGTCATCTATGAGGAGGTGGTCAAGCTACTGAACAACGTGTGGAAGACGCAATAGATGGGCCAGACAGTGACAGAGATCCAGAGGGAAGCACAGACCAGTGCCTCATGCTACGCACAACTGAACACCTCTATTTTTGTTCATATTTGCTCTCTGCATTGACCCGAAGAGATGACTCTTCATCATGACCAGTTTTCACTCCGTTTCATCAAATAATACAAGATGTAACCAAAAAAATACAGCAAAAAAAGTAAGGGAGGAAGCACGGATGGCTGGACTAAACAGCTCAATTTTGCATTTCGACGCTTTCTCGGTCTGATTTAGGAATCAAGAGGGATTTTTATGTTGAAGAATAGGAAAAGGCAAATTCAGAAAGGATTCTACAAAGAGTTTACACAGAGTGTAGACTCTTTGTAGAGACTAAAGAAACCTTATGAACCAAAGGTTCACATAAGAGAAGGGGCAAGACATGAGTGGGTTAAACAAAAAGGGATACTACGTATGTCTGTTTTAACTTTGTACGACTGTAATGGTACATGTTGTAGAGTGAACACTTTGTACTTTAACCATAAATGTGTCTTTTGATTCACTGAGTACTTAGTATACTGGGTTGCTAGAGAGATGCTACTGGACCCAAACAAGCTTGCGGCAGTGCTTTCAAATGTCTGTGCAGTAATTCAACACTTCTGTTTTGTAATTGCTTACCTGACAGCGCTTGTGGGGTCATCTTTAGCAGTATTTCCTCACTGTGGGTGTTTCTCAATCGCGAGTACACTTGCTTGGTAGCACATGTCTGCCGAGCATCTTGCTTCAGAAGCGAGGCAAGAATACTTCCTGCCATTTGGAAAACAAAGAGTGGAACAGGCTAGCAAGTGTGCAGGTGTGCGTCATATGAGAGGCCCCGCCTTACATCTTCCGCCACAGATTTGGGGAAATTGGTCCGTGCGCAAAGCATTGTGGGGATTTTAAGACCGCGGAGTCTACTCATGTGCAGCCTCGATATTTCTCCAAACGGAGTACGCCGGGCTCGGTAGATTTCCAAGTATGCTGGAGATTGGAACAGTACTTCGGCGGCACTCGATGACGTAGTATGCTTGAAATAGTGGCTCTGAAGCAGCTTTACTCGCGATTGAGAAACACCCCGTGTCTTGGAGATGAGGATACTGCTCATTGTGTATTTCATGGCCCGCTGCTGATAACTGCTCAGTTTGGCTGCATGGATCTCGATGTGGCATCTATCCTGTTACACGCTGACAGTGGCTCGCCGTGTACACAAACTGTTCTGGAGTCAGTACCTTTCTTGCAGATTGTTTCAGAGTGTTAAAACTTAATAAAAGTAGTCATTGAGCACACATTGTAGGAAACAAAGCCCTATGTAGCACAAGAGATGATTCATTAATAGAAGTTAGCGAGGTCAACGTTACATCTTCAACATCACACGTTACTATATGCTCAGTATGTGTTTTGAGTCCTTGACAGCTGCATGTGAAGGCTTTATTTGGGAATATTTGACCAGTAATGCTTTGTCCAGACCCTCAGGTTATTATTTCCCAGCAGCTGCTGGTGTGCAGCCTGAAATATAAAAGTAAAAACACATTTACTTAAGATAACAACATGCCAGACGATGTCAGCCATATGACTTCAGTGCGCTTGAGCCTTTCTGTGCTTATTGATTCATCCTACCGTCCTCTAGTCAAATCTGTCACTTTAATATTGTTTACCTCAAGCCTAACTGCTTTACAATCATTTTGTACGCTTACCGATGAAATAGTTCGTTAGCCATCTTTTATTGCACTTCTCTTATTAAGTGTTTACATATATTGAACGTCAACAAGGGGACAGATGTCCGAGAGGCTCGATAACAGAAAGGCTTGGTTTTTAATCAAACTAGTAGCACCACAAAAGCCTTGCACAGAAGCCTTTTACTCGCCTTTGCCACATTTCAATAGAATCTCCAATTTAATATCCCTAATAAAAGGACATCTTTATTACATTTTAAAACTAAGAGCAACAGAATATTCTTCAATCCTCATGTCTTTACCATTTCGTTTTTTTTATTAACTAATGCGCATTTTTTTCTATGTGTGTGCTGCTTTTCATAAACATATCAGATTTCATCAATCGCATTTCTGAAGATCCTGTTGGGCGGAGTGAAGGATTTGTGTGAAAAAATGGTGATGCATCTGAAGTTTCAGAAAGGATTTAGATAAAATATTGTTTCAATAAACTGATTGATAAACCTGATCTGTGTGACTTTGGTAATGTGTATTCAGGCACATAACAGCCCATAATTCAGATATTATAGTGTTTTGTATGTAAGAAATGGACGCACAAACTCCACTTCAATACAAATAACTTCTTATATTTCGAATTGTTTTCTTGTAACGCCTCAATGTAACCTGTACTGGGGGTATTAAGATTTTCTTTCACTTGATGGTTTCCTCCAACACTTCAAGGATTTGCATCTAAAAACAAATCTAAAGCTGCTTCTTTAGACAGTGGTGACCTGTGTGGTCAAGTAGGTAATGTAAAATTATGTTTTGATGTAAATATTTATTCATATCCAATATTCACAAAGCCGGTAAAATACAGAAAGTGAAACAGGTTATTTTTGCTGGAATGGTGGACCTGGTTTTTCCACAATGGGATGGAGGATCAGAGAGATCGGAGATGGTGGCAGAAAGAAAAAATCAGCAGGCTGAGGCTTTGCTGACTGCGGACAGAGAAGATTAAAGTCTGAAGTTGCAGGGCGAGCGCGGTCGTCATTTAAATCACAGAGGAAGGTATTAAACACCCCCACCTGTTGCCACTTCCATCCACCTTTGCAGTATATCGTTCATCTAGTAGGGCTAAATCCTTTTTTAAGCTCTCAATTTATCCATCTCGTTTAATTACATAAGATTATATTCTGTATTTATAATTGGATACATAACGATGTTTGTGGTTTATGCATATAAGCATGGGACTATGATTAGTTGAGATGCTAAGACTGGCATTTTACAGTATAGCATCTATTAGTAATGATCTCAAGGGATGTAGATGATTACAAACTCCCCAGTTTTACATTCGCACTCAGCTTTCGGGTGTTGCATCGTTGTTATTATTCTCACATGGGTATCCAACCTTAGAGAGAGCGCTTTTCCATCATGACTAGGTTAGCGCCCCTCGACACACAGCTATCAGTGAGACAGTGTAACGAAGCCCGATAGGGGATTAGGTTCAGCCGAGCCACCTTTGCTCCAGCTGTCGGGCTTCCTGATAGGAGAAGATGTGAAATCCTCTGCCGAAGTGAGGAGGGAGAATCAGAGGTGAGTCTATCTTCTCCATCTAGAATAATAAAACAAGATCAAAAAGTTCCATGTGAGGCAACATGTTAGCTTTAAAAGAAACTGACAAAAAAGGTAAAGATTGCTTCTTGGCATCTCACTCACATTCTGAGACATTTGTCTTTCCCACCGCTGACCACTCTTTGTCCATCAGGACTCCAGTCCACTGCATAAACCTACAAACACAAGAGATAAGTCAATAAGGCAAAAAAAGGACAATCACAATCAGTCAGTTTTGGCACCAGCCCTTACAATGATAAGCACAATCATTGACATCCCTACAATCAATACACAGCTATCATCTTTGTCCTCCCTCACCTCATCAGCGTGGCCGGGCAGGTCCATATTCAGCTTCCCAGTCTTGATGTCCCAAACTTTAAGGGTGCTGTCGCTGCTGCCGCTGACCAGCAGCCTGCTGTCTGCGGACCAAGCCACTTGATACACAGAGCCCACATGGCCACGCAGGGATATTAAGTACCTTTGGACAAAGCAAGGCAGAGATAATAAATCACTGTTACAAACACTCACGTCTTATGCCTACAGCACCATCACCTGGATAATAGCAGTATTACACATGGATTCAATAATGATATGAGATTTACTAACTTTCCAGTGCGTCCGTCCCAGATTTTAATGGACTTGTCGAATGAGGCAGAGGCGAGGAGCCTGGTGTCTGGGGAGAAGAGCACCTCGTTGACCAGAGCGCTGTGACCCGTCAGCCTGGCCAGAGGCTTTTTCTCTTCCGCAGGGTTCCACATGAACAAGGTGAAATCATCTGAACCGGACACCAAGCGCTCTGGAGCTGAACCCTGTAGCATGACGGCAGGAGTTAGAGTACTGATATAAAGGAAATACAGACTAGAACACATAAGCACAGAGAACAAGCAGTACTTACCCTAACTTTATTATATCTCTGCAAAGCCTTTTCTTTCAGCTCTTCCACTAGGGGAGAGATCAATACATGTTACATTCAATCTATAAGCCATAAAGCCTCTTCTTCAATGAGTAGCACATTTTGCCCTTTCAATATTTCCCAAGTCTAAGTTACATAATCCTTACATGATCCAGTGATGTCCTGGGGGTTGATCGTGGCGTCTGCAGGTTCAAAAGCTCCAGTGCGCAGGACGTAGTCTGTGCTGAGAGCCAGGGTGTTCACCCAGTGGGCGTGACCCTGCAGAGTCCTGCACTGGACGCCCTATACCCAAAAACAGAAGTAAACACACATGAAGTATTTGACTTGACTGAGATGCATCGCCTCGCTCATTTGACTCACTCCGTCTGTGGCAATGAACATTCAAAGAAGTGTCTCAAACACACACTTACATCTTTGGCTCTCCAGACCTTGATTGTTCGGTCCTGGGAGGAAGTGTAAAGAAGTCCATCTCCTCCCCACTTCACACAGGTGACTGACTGAGTGTGTCCGGTCAGGATTTTCTCACAACGTCCCAACACGGTGTCCCAAACACGTATTGAGCCGTCCTTAGAGCTACTGGCTAAGTACCGGCACTCTGGGTTACTAAAAGGGAGAGGAAGAGGGGGATCAGACAAACAGTCAGGACAGAATGATTAAAAGAAATCTATCCCAATCCTCGATCTACAATACATTAAAAAGTCCCTATATCATGTCATGGCTAGCCTCTATTACATTAGCTACTGTCATCTTATTAAGCACTTATTTCATTGGTTTAATGAAAAATCTTAACACTTTTCTGAGTAAACTACTGTACCATTTTCTATTAAGAGGACATGATGGAAGGTCTGAACTGACTTTTCTGTGTCTGCATCTGTAGCTAAAACATTATTGAAAAATATTTCTATTCGAGTGTCCCAGTAAACCACAGTGTGACAGTGAGCTAGCATGCACAATAGCAGGAACCTAAAACTAAAACATTTGTCATTTCATTAAAAAAAAGCATCTAGTTTTCTGTTATTTAACAGTTTAAGTACCAAAAATAATTGAATGGGAATGGGATTTAGGTCAGCAGTAAAATAGGCAAACATTTACAAAAGTGAGAAAGTGATGAGTTAGTGCTCACAGGTGAAGAGGTTCCCAGCTGAGCCAAGTGATCCACTTGGAGTGTCCGGTCAAAGTCTTCCCCAGCTGTGTACCCGTCACTGGATCCCACAGACAGATCTACAGAAAAAGCGCCACAAAAAAATAAATACACCATGTTCATGGGATACATCCTTAGACAAACTGCATTGTGTGTTGGCAGTTCACCTGACTGTTCTTGCACCCTGAAGCCAGCTTCTTGCCATCTGGAGACCAGCTGATGCTCAGTACCCAATGTGTGTGTCCTTCAATAAAGAAGAATACAGCTTAATGGCATCTAAAACCCTTTAAAAAGTATTTGTATATTGATGCATAGCAGATCTTGCTGCCCTATAGAAGATCATTTTTACCTCTGACAGTGTGGTGGGGCGTCTCAGTAGTTAAGTCCCAAAAACGCACTGTGGTATCACCTGACCCGCTGGCAAGGTATCTGAAAGAAACAAGGATAATTTAATGTTAAGAGGACTCTTGGATAAATCAAAGAACAAAATAGATGAAAACAGGCAAAGAAACTTCTAGTTACTCACTTCCCGGTGGGGCTGAAAGCAGTGGAGATGACAGCCTCTGTGTGTCCCTGCAGCGTGCTGGTGCAGCGTGCCACCGCTCGGACCCTGAACACAGCCTGAGGCTGGTACACAATGGGCAGGACCTGCTCTGTGTCCACACAGAGAGCCTTCACACACAACCCCAGACTGGACACCACCTCTGCCTCGCCACGCACAAAAAATGCCAGTGGCACAGGCTCCTCCTGCAGTGGAGAAAGAAAAATAACAAAAATGTATTCACTGGATTTAAAAAATATGGCATGTGAGGACTTTGAAAGATTACCTTATTCTAAGAACATTTAAGCGTTTATAAATTCAGGAATAATACAATCTATATTTGATCACTTTTATACACGTTTAATAAAATTGGGAATTTGCCATGTTACATTTACCATGACCATAGTTAGAAAGGTGTTAAAAGTATACAGTAAGTGATATGCAGTTTACAAAAGAAACACTTTGAACCTGTTAGAGTACAAACATTCTAACTGATTAACATTTTAAAATGAATATCGTAGATGTGGACAAAGCCTGGCTAAAGATATAACAGGGAAATGTCTTCATGAGCAGATGTTTACAGCCTAATGACAATTTAAATTCTACTTCGATGTTATAATTGCAGCTGGTTACCTTCTGTAGCAGAGCATTACAGACAAGCTGTAGTTTGTCGGGTGTGATGTCTAGAGGAACATCAAAAGGTGAACCCAGAACCACTCCTTCCTCATCCTGAAACTGGATCAGTAGCCGCTCCACGTCCTCACTGGACATCCTCAGATTTGGATCTAAACCTGAAAAACAGTACATTACATTAATGTCCGTATACTAAAGTATGATACACTTAATTGAGTACACAATGTTAATGAAAATGGCTTTCAGGCTAATGGCATCAGGATTGTTTTGCTTCTTAGTTTTAGGAAGATGCTGTAGGAGCTATCTTTGCTGAAAAAGGTTCACATCCAGTCCTTGATAAGACATGGACAATTCATGTTTTAAATGTTAGCCCAAAACATGACGTTGTATTTTGCACCTTTTAGCAGTCCTTCCTTTACAAGTGAGTATACCTTACTTTAAGATTGTCTCTTCTCATTATTTATTCAAGGAAACATAGCTAGCTAGACTTTCTTTACTTGATAGCATACATCCTAACGTTTAACTCATTCACGATCATGCATATTAAAAGGACAATGAGCAACACGTTACAAATCGATGTTTACCATTGTTACTGTAAATATTTGGACTCCTGAAACAACGTATTTACATCTAGCTAGCCTATGTCAACCAGAGCCACTGATGTCAACCAGCAAAGCTAACTATGCTAGCCTGCTGTTAGCTAACATTTTGGACAAATTACTCCTTTTCGAAGTGATTGCAGTACAATAACATAACCATCATTGGTTTACACAACTGTGTTTATGTGTATATGACATCAAATGTGCACGGACATGTGCTAAAATCTTACCTTTAGCGAGGAAGCGATGTGTTCAAACTCCCCACGTGTATAACACCCAAGAGTCTTTACAGAGAGATACTCCAACAGGCAGGAGTTGTCATGTGAATGAACGGACCCGCGCAATGGATTATGGGAGATTTGTGAAAGTAAGAACAGTCGTCTTTTGTTTTCTTTCTTTATTTGCCATTCTAATTCATTTATTTTTTACTATTATTACATGTCTGTTTGTTTTTTGCTCGACTTTGGGTTCCATTAACTCTATTGACAGTATTGTAGCAGCATAAATGGTCATAAATGGCCTTGAGCGTTTACTTAAGGGTTATTTAATCTAAAAAACGCAGCACCTCTTAGATCCCATGCAATTTGCATATCAGGCATCTGGAGGGGTGGAAGATCCTATCGCAACCCTGTTGCATCTTCTGCACACTCACCACGAGAAGCCAACAGCCCATGTAAAGATCCTATTTGCCGACTTCTCATCGGCTTTTAACACCATCAAGCCAATATTTTAACTGAAGAATTCTCACTTGAACCTGGTCTGATCTCCTGGATCGTTGACTTCCTCAGCTGTAGAACTCAGCAGGCCAAAATAGGCATGGCACTTTCTGATACAATAACTACCTGGATAGGCTCACCCCAGGGATGTGTCTTATCCTCTCTTTTATTTATTTTATACACCATCTCCTGCATTAGCACTTTTCCCAACAGGCACTTTATTAAGTATGCAGATGATACGGCCCTGGTCAGCCTCCTATTTGATGAGGAAGAGGAGCATGGACCTGTCCTTGACTTCTTTATTAACTGGTGTGAGAAGTCAAACCTGCTTCTAAACACCTCAAAAACAAAGGAGATGGAAATTGATTTTAGCACAATCGCCCAACCCTACTCTTTTAAATAGCAAGCCCATTCAATGTGTCACTGAGTACAAATATCTTGGTGTCGTGCTTGACCACAAGCTCAGATGGGATGTTTGGTCTGAGAAAGTAAATGCCAAGTCTCAACAAAGAATGTTTTTTTTACGTAAATTATTGTCTTTTAATGTCGGCAACAGAATGGTTAAGATGTTTTATCATTTTATTGAACGTGTGCTCTCCTTCGGCATCATATGCTGGTTCGGCAACGCCACTGAGGCACAGAAAAATTCAGTCAGGAGAGCCATAACATTGTCCAGTAAATTAACAGGAATCTCATTTGCTAATATAGAATGCTTATACAAGGACAGAGTTTTAAAATTAGCACACAATATTGTGAGTGACCTGAGGCACCCACTTGCCTCTTACTTTGAACTGTTGCCATCCAGGCGGAGATATCGTGCCCCTCTGTTAAAAAAGAACAGATCTAGGCTGTCTTTCGTCCCACAAGCCATTTATATTATATTTTAGGCATAATTCCTCCATCTTTATCTTTTATCTTAAGACACGTGTGTCCAATTACGCATAGCAATACATTTAAAAACTAAATTACCACATTCTTCTGCATTAAACCTTAACTTAACAGTTCCCCATAATAAGCAGATCTTTCTTATAGTACAACCCTCTGCACTGCCACATATGTAGTACAATCCAAAACCAAAACATTTATTTTCAAAGACATTTTGACTAAGGGGCTGCATTGACCTTCAGCATTATATTCACTACATCAAATCAAAATGCAACTTATTTCTTTATTTTTGATTTTTTGGGCGAAAAAAGGCCAGTGGAAAAGCTGGAGGACTACTCATTACAGCGATAAACCTTTCTTGCAGAGAAACTGTCCAAGCTTAAGATGAAATCCTCAAAGGCAAAGTTGGAAAACACAAATTGAAATTTACAAAAATTGGATAGCACATTGTAGTGGCCATTATCTAAAGACTGAATACGCTGATCCAGTGTCTAATGGATTAGATTTTGGGGCATTTGAATGACAGAATCAATTGGGATACATTTCCAAAGGTAGAGAAATACAGTGCAGTGAATTTGTTCTCATTTGAGACCATTGATGTTTTCAGGAACGAGTCCTTCCATGACGGCACGCTTTGACTCCAGAATCTTCAAGATAAAAACAAAGATGAAAACCTTGAACTTAACAGCCACACAAAGTCACAGTGGATGCATAGAGTATACGTAGAGGTGTCTTAGAGCAACAACATCCTCTTCTGAGTAAACAAATGACGATTAAGTATTGACATGATAAAAATGCAACTACAGATGTGGTAATGGCACACTCACCTGGAAGTTAGCACTGAAGCCGATAATGCTTTGCATGTTTGTACTGTAGTAACCCAAAACAAACTGTCCACCCAGCAGAGGGATCCCATCCTTGTCCATAGATATCTGCACACATGCACATACATAATAATAAAACATACACTCGTAAAGGATTTCTCGACACGTGATATAAATGTCTAGTTTTCACATTACCTGTATGACTTCATTTATCTCTGGCAACTCCTCTTCTCGAACCCAAACAAAGGTTTCATAGTCGGAAGCACTCTTGAATCCCACCTGCAGGAGAACAGCCCCAAGAATTTAAATATTTTTTCTTATGTATGTTTTTTTCCCCTCTATGTACAGCATATCCCAGTACCTTGTACAGGCCGATCCAGTCCCATGTGGAGGACATGAAGTCCTCTTGGACGGTGTAGGTAAGAAGTGCGTCATGGTCGGCGCACCATACACCCAGAGGAGAAACGTGCACCTGAGGTGTGTCATAGCACTTCTTCAGCTGCAGGAAATAACAAAAGGAAAAACATGGAGCTTTAATAATGCAGAAAGAAAACAGACTTATATGTATTGAGTAACAGTCCTATAGCCCTACACAGTGAGCCTCCTCTCACCTCCAGGCTGAAGGTTGCAATGACAGGCTTGTGGTCACTGACTCCGTAGCTCATGTCGCAGGTGTACTTGTCCTGAATGACCAGGAGCGGATACTCCTCGGTCTCATCCACAGTGGAAATCGATGCCTTGTCATCATCATCCTCTGAAGGAAAGGTTTTGGGTTTGATGCGCCAGAGGATCCGATCCGTCCAGGCCGGTTTCCTCTTCTTGCCACTGAGTAAAGCAAGTGTTGATCACACAGAGTCCAATATGAGAACGAGTTGAAAACACATATTTGTAATGATAACCAGTGGAAACAATACAGTTAAAAAAGTATTCACTCAGAAAATGATCATTTGTATATCAGTTACTCAACCTTGAATTATTTTTCTCTCATGAGTGAGTCCCAATGAATTGAAGTAAATGGAGGCCATGTTTAACAAACAAGCTTGTGCAGTATAACTCATGTCTTAATTATTCACATGTTTTTACTTCCAAAACACGTGCATTTAGCTTAAATCTCACTAGAGTAACACTCACATAGATAAATAGTTCACCCGCACAAGAGTGAGACTCTGTAAGTAGTGATTGGGAGTTTTAGCGGAAAAGATTTGTATTCTTGGTCTTAAAGAATTCCTGGTTACACAGGGTGAGTAACTGATGATGACAGATGATCATGTAGTTTGTAAAGTATTTCTTTAGAGAACAAAAACAAGACACACACACGTGCAATGCAGAGCTATGCAAACAGTGAATGAATGAACATCAGGAGTGGACAATACCATTTCATACAGCTTCCCATGCATCAACGACACACACAAAATGCAAAAACAAACAGTGGGGTGCAATGTGCAGGAGGGAGTTGTCTCAGTTATAATGAATTTGCAGAGCATGTCTGAAATTCATCAAGGTTATTATGCTTACTGAACCTTTGGCATTTCTATCAGTGTCTCCAGTTATTTTGTGATTGTATTAAATCTTTAGGGTGCCTGTTCTATCTTGTTTTTACACGGCATATCTCTGGAGACACCCACCTTGGCGGGTCTAGCTCCTTGTGCCAGGCCCCCAACCACACAGAGAGCAGCCCCCAGGTGAGGGAGGTGAGGAGGAAGAAGAGAGTGGTGCTGCAGCGCTGCAGGGGCCTGGGTCTGTACATGGTTAGGGGCAGCGCCACAGTGCTAATTCTGAGAGAGACATACACATGGTGCTAGTGTAAGGGATGAGTGTGATTCATGCAAGAGCTGCTCCCAATACCGTCTTTATATCAGAGTTTACTGCTCAAGATGGGGTGGCAAAAGCTTCAAGAAAAAGGACACGTGCTGTGTTTGAGAACTAAGGTATTGTGGGGCATGCAACACAAAAAGACGTAAGTGTGCCTTACTTAAAACCAAAGCATGTCTTCACTGAGCTGTGCAAAATTCAAATGGAAACAAGAAATGAGGTGAACTTTGGGAAATGTGATGAGTGTTTGTGTATTTTACTTGTTTGCTGCATAAGTTACCTGGTATCATAGGTATCAGAGTTACGGTTAAACTTGTAGGTGGGTTTGAAATTCAATGGCCCTTCCTCAAATTCCTGGAGGAAAGGTTCATTTTTCTTCATCATAGTAAGCTGCAAGAACATGAACATAATTAGTAAGCGTGCAATACTTAATGTGTGTATGTGTGTGTGTGTTTATCACGAAACATTACCTGGTCTTTGCTCCACAGCAAATTTAGACGCTCGCTGTTGATGGACGAGCGCAGGAAGTGCAAGCCATGATCTGCAATACGGAAGTTCAGGTCGCCAAACCAGAACACCACCCTGCGTGAGATAGATAGAGACTCATTATATTATATTATGCTCTAACAACCCTCAGAGCATATCCCATTGGTTGTGTGTGTGAGATGTACAGTCTATGTACAATAGTACTGACTTGTGATCCCGGACATGTGGGGTGTCAGTGATGTCAAAGTCTTGCTTCTCCAGGATGTGCTCGATCTCATCAACGCGCTGCAGAGCGTAGTTCATGTGAGCCGCCAGGTGGCAGTTAAGGAAGCACACCATGTGGCCGTAGAAGGAGAAACGCACCGACACTCCTCCTTTGTTACCCTGACACAGACAAACAGGGATGAATTACAACATGTGTAGTAGAAGATTTGTATGGATTTACAAATACTTAAAAAAAAATAAGTTTGATAAAATGAACCTGCAGAATACTACAGGTTTGGCCTTTCCTCAGCCAGATTATGTTTTTTCCCTTTAACACAGATTAAACCATTTGTCTTTCAAGTATTTTCCAACACAACAACTAGTGTGCCACACTAGTTGTTGTGTTCTTTGTTTGTGCTTTCATTCACTCTAAACTGGTGCACATCTCACTAAACAAACATAATAGGCCTTTCATAAAACTCATGTAATGCCATTGGGATTTTGGATTTGCCGACAGGGCTAACCATTTTGAAAACATACACTTACTCCAAATATTTCCTTTTTTTCTTTGTCGACACTTGTTTTTTTATATGAACGTCTTGAACCTAAGTGTTGGGTGTATAATTACTCTCCACCAACTCACCCAGTAGCCAAAGATGCCAGTGCGGGTGTAGGTGGTCTGGATGTTTCTGATGAAGGGGAGATGCATTTGTTTGGCAAAAACCAGCAGCAGCAAACCCTGCATCCTCACTGATGTGACCTATAAACAGAGATGGAGAAAGATTTCATTAATGTTCTTCTAAAGTCAATTTGTTCAATGTCTTTCCTATTTTTTTTTTCTATTCCTATTAAAGTTATGCATAATATATGGTACAAGTTTAATTGTATGAAAACATTTAAATATACAGCTTTAAGAAAAACAATTGGTATTAAAGGTCAAATCAAATACTACCAGTCTCACACTTATACTCATTTATTAATCAGGACGGAAATGGGTAATTTCTGTTTCTACCGGTCAACACAGTATTTCCCCTTTACTCCTCCTGTCCTCTCCCACCTTCACAAAGCCTCTGGGGGCCAGTGTTTCCATGAAGACGTGGCTCCAGGAGTCCTCCACTAACAGGTCAGAGATGAACCTCACAGGGGTGGCGTTCACCTCCTGCAGGCTGACACACACCAACACAAAGAAATGAGGTAAGCAATATTTCTCTCTTTTAAATACATTTACTTTAAATAAATAAATACTTGCTTCATGCTTCAGTCCAATTCCTGGCAAAGTGTTACATTTCAGCTTCCATATTGTTATTTCTTACCCAATCACATAGATGTCTGTGGGGGGCTGGACGTCCAGCTGCATCAGAGAGGCGACGTCTTCAGGGGGCTCGGCTGTGGCCACGTTCCAGGTCACCATGTGCAGCCTGTCAGAGCGTTTGATCACGGCAAGAATTGACCCAAGTCAAAGAAAAACAAGAGAACAAATTAAACCTTATCATTAACATTTGTCTCGTAGTAAATACACTAATATCAGAAGTATCAACTGCACAATTATTACTACAAATAATAGTATTGGGTCCTGGCCAATAAATAATTTTAACAGCGTGTGGCATCCAACAGTTTGTTTTTGTCCTCGGACATTGGAAACAATAAAGGTGAAATATATACTTTTTCAATATCTAAATTGTCTTTAATCTCATAATTGGAAACCAACAAGAAGAGAAACAGAAATCCAGATGATCTCAAACTCTTCCTGCCTCTGTAAACTTGAGTATGCTTGAATAAGTCATTGCGCATGTCCACCTGAATGCGTCTGTGGGAACGTAGCCCCCACAGAGGTGAAAGGCTTCGTCCAGCGTGCGGGATACTTCTTCCCCGGCCTCGTCGTCAGAGCTCATGTCCTCTACGCAGGTCAGCAGATGAGTCAGACGCTGGCGGAGGACAACCTTGGACCTCTGAGACGTTCTGGAGCTCTGAGACGCTGAGCTGCTCATGCTGTCTGAGCGCAGGCGTGGACTGTGTCTAAAGAAGTCCATCTTTGGATCCTAGTCTTTGGATCCTAGTCTTTGGATCCTAGTCTTTGTTACGGTTTTTCCTAAATGTCTGAGAGATTGAGAGTATTCAAAAAGACTGCCGCAATCCTTAAAGGGCAAACAAGCAAAAATCCCAAGGACGATATCCCTTTGGCTTGACTTCTCCTCAGACTTCTTTGGTTGAAGCCATTTCATGTGGTCAACTCTGCTCAGACCACTGGAAGTAACATCAATGGATGCCTTAGAGTTAAATCTCTCATCAGGCAGCTTCTGATTTAGTCCTCCAAACTTTCCAGAATAAAAAACTTGAAAGCCCAGAGGGAAGTTTGTTTGTATCCGTGCAGTCCTCTCTGTGGCAGAGTCCCGTGTGGTCATGCAGCAATGGAGTAGCGACTGACAAAGCAGTGGGGCCGACTCAGGAATGTGGGCAAGAGGGAGTCAGATTTGGACCATAATCGCAGGCAGGAGACGGGCATGTGAATATATGTGTGTGTGTGTTTGTGTGTGTATGTGTGTGTAGTCCCAGAGAGTATAGGGCTGGAGGCTGATCCTCCGTCATTATGAGTAGTGTTGCAAGACTTGAGTAACCCTTCAGATCCGTAAGAGGTTTATACAGCGGTCTCTCTATCAGCTGAGTACACTGAACAATGAATGTATCCCCCAATCACGCATTAGCGAGGGGACAACAGTGCACAATAGCATTAGCTTCTTTTGGCCTCAATCCAATCTCTCCCCATATAGGTGAAGGGTTATCTTTGTAAACCCAGAGGTGGGGGGGGGGGGGGGGTTAAATGCGGTTTTATAAGCTCCAACACAGTTATTTATAGGTTTTTTCCTGAATAGAATACAAAGCTCATATCATTCTAATAAACAAGTATTACAGCACTTGTAATAGTGGACAAATTGCATATTTACTTCAAAGCAGGCAATTAATGAAGCAATCTGCAGTATTTTGTGTGATTCTAATGGTTTAAAGAATTCAAAACCATTAATTGGATGAAATTATTTCAATGTAAGATGCCAAGTTTAGTTCCCGATTTAAGTAGCAAGTTGATCTATTGGAAAATGTGTTTTAAAATCAGTTTTCTAAGATGCATACTGTTTACAGTTTTAAACACAGGCTTCAATCATTTAGACATCCTTGACTTTATAATATATAACTATAACTATGTTTAGGTGTAAGGATTTATAGAAGATCATGGTAATGGCGTGTGGTGCAGTGGGTTGTGCGTTGGTGTTCGAATCAGGGAGTCACAGGTTCAAACCCCACTGCAGTCAGCGTGTCGTTGTGTCCCTGGGCAAGACACTTCACCCCAAATTGCTCCTGTGGGGATTGCCCACAGTATCGAGTATGTAAGTCGCTTTGGATAAAAGCGTCTAACAAGTGACATGTAATTTTATTTTTATGCAGATATCACGTTGATTCTTGTCATGTGGGTTGAATTCTTCAAAAAGCAATGGTCATTTATTATTTTGCATTATTTTAAGGATTACATCTTTGGATCCAATCGTGGATAGTCCTCCATCTAACTGACAAACACGGTTATATGGTTCACAGAGTTCATGGCAGAATTGCAACAGTGTTCTCATGTTTTTGTAACGCTGTGCGGACAATAGAGAAACAAACAACGAGAAGAGATTGCCCCTTACAAAATAAGAAATGCTAATCTCCAGTGCCCTAATTCCCCCTACAGATTCATGTAACAGTGTCACATGCAGAGACTTAGGGCACATTCTTTGGCAAGAAAAAGTGTTAAGTGGATAACCTGGGGGTTCACTGGCCCACTGAGAAATGATGAATGGGTGGGTATTTCAGTTTTGATCACAGAGCTCTGCAAAGCCTCAGAACCTGCAGCCTTAAAGCTACTTCTGACGGGTTAGGCAATTCAGATACTGTTCAGGAGGGTTATACCTTCTTTTATGGACTCTCTTGGTCTCTACTTACACCCTTTTCTGCCTGAAGTCTTTCCTTTCTCTTATAGTAACTCTTATTTCTTTTTTGTTTGTTCCTACTCTTTATTTCTAGACCATTAGATGAAAAGAAGTATAGGTTTGCATGGGATTCTTATCTTACCTGCACTTGTCTCTGCCACCGCTTTGAAATCTTCCAGCGCTCATTGTCTCCCCTGTAGAAACACATATAAACAAAGTGAAAATAAAGACCAAACACACAAGTTAAGATAAAATACTCGCCTCTATAAGAGCCAGTTTACCGGGAAGACAGAGCATTTCCCTATAAAACCGACCTGACACGGAAGCCCGAAAGTCATTTTTTTAATGGCTTTGTAATCATGTCAAATCACGGTTAGCTTCATCCACGTTAAAGGGGAAATGCCCTGAAGGTCACATGTAAAAAAAACAAAAACACTTTCCCATTTTGTAAATGTTCATCAAAGGATCGTGATGTTTTAAAAAAAGAGATTATATTTGTATGTGCTGTTATGGTTATATTTTCAGGGATCATTTAGTCTCTAAATGTCCTATTGATAGTGAGCTAATAACTAATACTACAGAAACATGCTAACATGTGATTTGGTGAGCTAAATGCACATGAAGCAGGTACAGAGCTAACAGTATTTTTGTTGTTTTGTTTTTAGTCACCCAACAAATGTAATTCAGTTTTGGTCCCCGAAATAAATATCTGGCTCTTTAGCTTCTAAATGTTACGCTTTGTTTGCAGGCTAGCTAGTTGCTAACTCAGTTTGTATTAAGGTTTGTGCTAGGCAGGAAGTGTGCAGTTGGTATTTTCAGAAAACGTGTTAGTCTATTAGATATTAAGTGAAAAGAGAAAACTTAATGGAAATGTTTTTTTTTAAAGTTTTAATAATTATTTAGCTTAAAAACTTCAAGGGATAAGTGCAGGGAGAAGAACACAAACATTTTCACTGATCCTCCCCTCTTTGCTAAACAGCTTCATCCAGCATTATAGAACGGCCCTGATAAAAAGAGCTAGCAGAACAATGGCCAAGTGTCAAACGTTTGCTCTGTTTCCCTGAATCAATATGTTTAGATCGTCCAGCTTGGCAAGGCAGGGCGAAGCAAGGCAAGTTTATCTATGTAGCACCTTTCAACACAAGGCAATTCAAAGGGCTTTACAAAAAATGATAAAAACATTAAGAGCATACTGTACATGAGCTGATGTTATATGGCACAACCTTTTTTCTTGGCCTATGTGTTTTGAACTGCAAGTTTAACCCATACAAATTGTGTTAGATGATGACCGTGGGGACCTGTTTCCAAAGACTAGTGCTTTAAGATTTAAAAAATAATACAAGGATCCAGTCATTGTTACCCTGATCAACCAGGTTGGAAATTCTACCTGCTGACCTTTGAGTCCTTTACACACAAATAAACCCATTTGCTTTCCTTCAATGTCCTTTAACTATATGACAATATCCTTAACTGAGTTTTCTGCTTCAAGGATCTGCTGAAAATAAAAACATTATCTTCCATTCTGCACAGTAGCCTACCTTTCTCCGTGGGTCTTTCTTGTGGTGTCTCAAAAAAGCCGCAGACCCCTTGCGAACAGACGACGAAGGTCTTGGAAGGGGAGTCCGGAGCCTGGACCTGCTTTCCTGTGGTGAGACCCGTTGTTTCACTGTTTGTTCTCTTTTTGGTTCCTGCAATTTGTTCTCAGCTGTTCCTCTTCAAGCTCCAACTCACAACCTGCTCTGGACTTAAAGCGTAACATGGGCTCAAGGTATTAACCCAGGTTGGTTAACAGCCCGGTGAGAGAGTATTATCTTCTTCATGAATGGACATTTCTGTTTATTGAATTTCACCATGACGCGTGGCATTTGCTGCACTAAAGCCCTCTTTGTACGTTCACAAATAATCCTTCATTTTCTTAACATTATGGAATGCGTAGGGTGATTTTCCTTACTCAACGATATTTCAATCACAGTTTAGTGAAACAAGTACTTTCTCATTAAAGGGCAATGCCTCTGGGTCTTTATTTAGAAATAATAAGCAGAACCTGTCTGAGATGTGCTGCCATGCTAAGTTCTAATTAAGTGTCACATGGTAGTTGAAAGCATGTGATTTCTCAGTTCTGGTTTTAGTTTAGTTTTAAGGATTAACTCGCTTGTAAAAAATGTATGTTGTAATTCCAGACTGATGGTGTGTTTTCGTCATTTAAAGGAATAGTTATATCTGATTGTTACGTAGGAAGCTTAAATCAGGAAACCATTTGCTTTGCTTAGCATAACGAGGAGAGACAAGGCGGGATCTGTCCAATGGTATAACAATCCACATACCAATCCCTGTTAAGCCCCTTTAATTTGATTTTTAATTGATGTTCTTTACATTACATGTCACTTGTTAGACGCTTTTATCCGTTTATTTAGGTGGATTTTGTGAGCATTTGAGAGCCAGGCTTGTGTTCTGCCTGGTTTCTAATCATTATGCTACCCTGAGCTCTTACCTAATATTTAAAGTGAACATGAAATTCGTAAAAGTCTGCTTATCCAACAAAAAAATAAACTTATTTCCCAAAATGCCGGTGTATTCCTGTATTTTCTTCTGAAGGAGAAGTGAAAACTAGGTTCCTCTGTCTAATGAGTGATTTTTCCTTTTAAAGTAAAGCTGCACTTTTTCACTCTTGGCAATACTATCTAATCTAAGGACATCATTCAGGTGGATGACATGGTTTACACTTACTCTTCATAAAATAGACGGACGTAAAAAAAATAAAAGGGGTAGGAGCTGGAGGGAAATCACCACTTACAGTAAAACCAGGATTTACTGACTGTTGTCGTGTCCTTAATAAAAGTTACAGATTCATGATTACATTCATTTAAAGAAAAAATAATTCTTACTGAAGAGCTAAATGTTATAAAGGTTTGCAGTTTCAGAGATTTCTTCTCTCATCAACAGCTCACAAAATGTGTAGCAGCTCTCTGTCCGGGCCCCTCCTCTGCCTCATAATCAGGATTTAAAGTAATCTTTGCCATCCAAACATGATTAATTTTACCCTGCCTACACTCTATTTGCGAGTCTCTACAGTAACACTTATCCATCAAAAAACAAAGCATTATGTGAAAATAGTAACAGATCATGTGGTGTAGTAACATTTCATGTTTAAAAGGCCTCTTGTATTTAAATGTTATTTATTTTTCCAGATTTGTGGAGTATCTAATGAGCTCAAATAAAAAAAATCTACAACCACCTGTTGGGACATGCAAGAGATGTGAACCGACATACTTTCTCCTAAACCTACCATTACATTTCTTTCAAATTGTCCACTTTATTGTGTATTCTGAACTAATTGACAGATATTGTTTGAGCTTTCAGGCCCTGGCAGTAGCATTATGAGGAATCTTAAATCTAACTTGCCTTAAAATGTAGTAACCCTGGTTTAACAGTCCCATTAAAATATATTTATGTACCAGAAAATATCAAAGAGCAACACTATTACAGCTCTCATGGTAATTGGATGATTTTAAGATCTCACGTGACTGTATGTAGGACCCTGTTCTCAAAATCCTGTATGATTAATTTTCTTACAGTAGTTGCCACAATAGGTGAGAAGATGATTGCTCTTGTGTTGCATTAGTTACAAATAAAATAATAAAACATACACATCAAAATGTATGTACAGTTGCTTCTTTTTATTCATTTCTTTACGTCTCCAATGTACAGTAGTGTTATTGGAAGATAAGATGACAAAAAGGCACAAATTCACAATAAAAGAAAGAAAAACAGGAGACAAGTTAACAGGAGTGAAAGAGAGCGTTAGAGAGAAAGAGAGAGAAGAGATAGAGATTTAAAAACAGTTCAGGATTGTGGAATCATTTGGTTTCATATTCTGATTATAAATCCAGGAATCTAACAACAGATATCTATGAGATTGTCTCTGTTAAACCATATTCTCTCACAAGCGTATATGATGTCTTGTAGGCTCTTAAAAATGGACCTTATGTCACTATCTGTTTTCCAACAACCACAACTAAGTGTCTTGTTCTCTTTTGAGCTATAACTCCAACCCTCAAGCATCCGGTGATCTTAAAATGCAGAATGACTTTTCCCTCCATCTCCATCACAAACCGCAGGAGGGAAAAATCTAAATTGCACAAGCTTTGACACCATCAGCTAATTTTGTGGATCAATGAACTGACCCAAGCTGCCGTTATATGTTCCTTTTCAGTGAGAGAAGCAGTTCAGAGACTGACAACAGAGGTACAACAACACCCAGAACAAAAATATATATCTATACACTGTCCTGCCAATGAGATGTGCGCTGTGAGGAAAGAACAACGTGAGAAGGAGAGGGAATAGTGAGGGTTTTTAAACTTTTTTTTTCTCCAATTACAAACCAACCAGCTTTTCACTGTCTCTGCTTTGCTGGAGCGTCCTAAAATCTGCAGTAAAATCATCTCAATCTTTATTTCTACAGCTGACAGTATTCCACAATTTCTTATCAGCACTAAAGTTTAGAAACTCTACATTTCATCACAAAAATATCTCTGTGAGAGCAACTTGTTCACTGGATGTATTTAGAGGATCAAGTGTCGAGAGGGTGTGCCGTAGGTCTGGCAGGACAGTCTGATCTATATATATATATATGTGTTCATCTACATTACTTTATTTACTATTTACAAAGTCAATACATACAGTACATCCACAAATCTCCATGGTTCAGTTGGTAGCCCCATCACAGACAGCGAGTGAGATGCTCGATGGACACAGAGAGGTGGAAGGGGAGGACAACGAGTAGCAGTTCTTTCAAGAGGAGGCAACAGAAAATATTAAGGAGTGACAGGTTTATAAACCGAATACAGATAAAAAAAATCAGGCTGATTATTAATTCTTCTTCTTGATTTTCTCCATTCTGAACTGTAGAGAATGTGAACGACTGTAGAGTTGGTACAGACCAGTAATACAGTGATAAAATAACAAATGATTAGCTTAATAAAAGACATTTTTGGGAAAGTTTTGTTTTGATAATTGTCAAATAATGTCAAATGTATTGATAATGTATATAAAAATCACAAAATTGCCTTGCGGGGGAAGGGACTTTGAATAATTGCCAACCAGAAGCTCTTCAAATAAAATACTACTCATATTGGTATGCATTTAATCAGGAAAGAAAATGCTTTTTAAATGTATATAAATATGTTATAATACAATTTAACACTATTTAACAAGAACTAAATATAAAAAACGGTTAATTTTAAAATTATAAAAGCAAATATATCTACTCTTTAACGATCTAAATGTATTGATTGCAATTGAAATAATTCAGTATTATGGATTTTACATCAT